CATTCATTCTGCCCGTGAGCCGTGTGGAAGTGCTGCCTGAGCGTCTTGTGCAAGGAGGTCTGCAGGTGCCCGAAGGAGAAGTGGGCTGTGAGGGAGACGAAACGGCCATAGCCGCTAGTAGCTAGGAAGTAGAAGGCAGACATAGCTGCCACAGGTTAGAGATAGGAGGTAGCGTGTATATGCGAGTGTGTTGTGTGAAGTGTGTGAGTGTGTGTTGGACATCCAGGGAGGTCCAGAGTAGCGTGCGTGTGAATAGTTGCTGGGGATACAGTATCGGCTGAGAAGTGTGTAGGCCCACAGACGCCATAGCCATCCGACGCAAGTTTGAATCTGAACTGTGCTCTTGGCCTCAATATCTCTGAGCTTTGTGCGGGCGCCTGGCGCCAGTGTGATTGCCATCTGTTTCCATGCATGCTGAGTAAGGAAGAAGACGAGTCTGGTTGTACACACACACACACACACACACACACACACACACACACACACACACACACACACACACACACAAACACATGCTCACAGACATGGATGCCAGTCATGCGACCTGGAGAAGACATGTTGCACAGCACCAACTGAGGAAACGAAGAATAGAATGTCCGTCATTACGATCACATCAATCACAAACCTCTTCACCTATAATGTTCGAGAAAACTGGCACAGACTTGAAGAATTCCAGCTTTGCAGGAGACTCAGCTTGCCACATCTGCACCCACCACATCAATTTGAAAAACGACAAATTAAAGAGGTGGTGAATCACCTAACGAATATCTCAATCTGCAATACCATGAGAAGTTTGAGAACCACTTTCAACAACAAAAAGAAAAGGGCATTTGCAGTTGCAGAAGTCTGTGTTTGCCTGAGCTTCTCTGTGAAGTCTGCAATTTTGCTAAGATTTCTGCATCGTTAAAAAAAACAGTGTATGTGCTCTTGCTGACTTGACAGAGTGCTGAACTGTGTGCTCGGGTGATGGTTCGAGACTTTGGGTGTCAGTGCTATGTTCTGAATCATGGAGAGGGAATTACCATTTGTTATAAGCCCCTGTCTGTGCATTGCCCCAACGGACATTTGTGTCAGCAGACAGAAAACGTGAGGTCTCCGGCAGAGAAGACGTGAGAGAGAGAGAGAGAGAGAGAGAGAGAGAGAGAGAGAGANGGAGGAGGAGGAGGAGGAGGAGGAGGAGGAGGAGGAGGAGGATTTTCCAGGAAGTCCAAGGCGTAGGATAGAACTGGTAGGTGTCAAGGTCCCTCCGACCTTGTCATGTACCTTGCATATCCAGACAAGTCCATAGTATGATGCATCTAGTACTGAGGAAGGATTAAAGGCTGAGTGGAATGGTGATGCAGAGCAGGTCAGAGGAAGGGTAGCTTGGGTGTGTAGGCCGGATGCGCGCACATGTACTTGGAATCTCAGCAGAATGCGGGAATCTTACCAAGTCACACAGTCCGGCAGCAAAAGTCAGAAAACAGCTGAGTTCTCAATCTGTGATTTTGCAGGTCATTATTACATCACCCCCCCGTCAAGAGCGCGGTCCCTTCATGCGAGTGACTCGATTATGGTCCCTGCAAAATGCATCGTGGATAGTGAATGCAAAGAGTGGTACTGACTGTTCATAAGCAGTGAGACATTTTAATGCGTGAACTACATGGGGTGCAGTCTTAAGTAGGACTTTCCGATATATCCAATAGAGTTCGTCTAATGATACTGCGAGGCCACTGCCTCTATGAGCCCCTTTCGGCCCCTCTCTTGCAGCCCGTTGGCCGCCCTAAGTGAAGGCAGGCTCGACGAGGCCTTCAGGGCCCTATTTTGGTCACTGCGCAACTAAGGAAATTCAGGCAGTTGCACAGCGCCAGTTGGTTGAGAGAACCC